CACAAATGAGTTTCATCATTACTTGGGACATTGTAAACCTAATTTGTATTGATAAAGGGTCAGAAGTATGATATCCACATAAAAATACTGCATGTTTACCCCTATATATATATATATTTATTTTTTTAAAATATTTAATGTTTTTCTTCCAGATGTGGTACTGTGTCAGCTTATTAATTTGCCTTGTGTTTGCTGTTAAATGCTTGGGGGACTCTGAAAATGTTACAACAAACAGTACGGCCTCCACTCACACTGCTACTGCCTTCACAACACAGCATGGCCCTGTCATGAAGTTCTGGAACAATTTCCAGATGATGCAGAGAGCATTCTATGTGCTAATTGGTGTCAGTGTATTGGCTGTGCTTTACTTCATCATCCGGACTGTACGGTGAGAAACCTAAATTATTATGTTAGAGCCCACCCTGTCTCACATTCCTGAACACTCAGAAAAATGCATCTTATTTTTCTTCTTGTTAAATTGCTATGTTGGCATAACAGTTGTAGAAGGATGGTACGATGTTGACGAATAGATACAAAAAAATTTAGTGTTTGTTTTTAAAATGATGCTGATCAAGTAATGATTAAATGGTTAGGGATCCTATTGCTATAATTTCGATCTATTTGTAGTAATGTCACCCTTGCCGCAGTGTGAGGTCTCAAAGGGTGAGATCTCCTTGGTTTTCAATCTCCTCCGTTCCATTCTCCGTCCTGTTGGCATGTCTTCTTGGCTGAGATCATCGATCTTGTCCAATGCTTTCCCATAAGAAAGTATGGGGAGGCGATGGCGTATGCTCAGCAAAATGCCAAGCTGTGCCAGTATCTGGGAGAGGTGGCCGATCTCCCGGCCCGATGGGACTCAGCAACCACTTACATTGAGCAGCAGGTGACCAGTTATACCCCCTCCCAGACCGGAGGCTGCCATAAATTGATTGAAAAGCCAGGCAAAGCCATACAAGCATATTAACAACAACACAGGGGTGCACCCATCATGGCTAACACCACGTGTGCTCCCATCTGCGCGGTACAACACCAGATGTGATATCATAGCTAGATGTTATCTTTGAAAAATTCTAGCAAAAGCTAGAAAACTGTGCACCTTAATTTACCCCAAGGCAACCAAGCAATCCTAACTTGCTGCCTCCAAGCCAATAGGAGGGAATCTAAGGCTTTAGCTATGAAGAAGGCCCCATCTAAGCAGCAAGCTGGGCTACACTTTTCACTCCTGCGTAGGATGACACGTGACCGGGAGCCGATGGTGCAGATGGAGATTCTGAACAAGCTGGCTGGTCTGATCTGTCAGATGGCACCTAGGCACAGGCTCCTGAAGTCCCTCACTTTGTTGCAGGACTTTGAAATGCCCTTGGTAGGCACAGGGGCAATAGTCCTTTCTCGCATGCACTCTCCCTAACATAACGTTTATGGTACCTTCTGTTTGTCTGGTTTCACTCTGCTATTTATTTTTCTTTTTAATTTTTCCTTTTTTGTCATTAATATATAACCTTGTGGATGCCTCCTGAGGGACATCTCCTGTCTCATTATGTTATTTTTTTGTTTATAAATTCTTTATTTTTGACATGTTTTTTCTTTCTCATACATAGACATTATTCACATAATATTTATAAGTTTTGAATTAAATAATGCGTATTTTAACACATATGAATAATGTAAAATTTTACAGTATTTAATACAGTACGTAAACCTATATTATTTCAAATATATTTCTCATACATCCACTCATACATAAGTGTCCAGGGGAGGGATGTAATCTCTATAAGCATTATTATTTATATTGAATAGAATAGTTAGAGGTAGTTTAGGTATGTTAAAAGATCACTATAGTCTACATATAAAAGCAAGAAAGACTGGTCCCCTAGACTTCTTCCTTGCTTTTATATGAACTTCCCCTTATTAAAAATTATTATATATTTTTATTTTTATTTTTTAAGAAAAAATTATTTTCGAGCCCTTTTTATGATATAAACTTACCTCCGTTCCAGCGCCGAGATCCTTGGCAGGCCGCACCCCTTCTTTTGTCAAAATGATGAAGTAGCAGGGCTCAATCAGACGCTTTTCTTAGAGAACCATCATAGCAATCTTGTGCGCATGCGTGGCTTCGCCCTATGAATGAACTCAGCGCTCTACCGCGGAATTCATTCTGAATGACAGCTCTGCTCGCTTTCTATGCCCGCCCCCTCCTACACTACCCTCTGGCCCAAAGTTTGTTTGTTTGCATAGAAACACTTTATGTAGAGATCTCTATATATAGTGTTTGTATGCAAACACACAAATAGTAAAAACTGCAAACATACACACGCCATCCATCCATCTCTATCCATCCATCCCTCTCTATCCATGATGGATGGATTGAGAGGAATGGACGGATCCATCCCAAAATCACACTCTATCTCTCTCTCACTCACTCGCAGTCACACTCACTATTTCGCTCGCTCAATCTCACTCACATTCTCACTCACTTACTCACCCACACTCACTCACAAAATAAGTTTACTTACGGTTTGGCACCTCCTGCTCAGTCTCCGGTCTTCAGCCTGTCAGCTCGAGCCGATGCTGTATGCAGGAGATCTCCCACACTGTCAGCTATGATTGCTGACAGGCTCCCAGGTTACTATAGGCCTCCTATTTCCTGTCTCCTGTCATCACGTTTGTATTCACCCAAGCGTGAAGACGTCAAACTGAATGAATGTGAATTAGGTATCATGAACTCGGAAGTCCCTCTGGTGGCAGTCTGAGTGACTGCACTGGAGGTGTTCCTAGGTTCTAATGTAAACAGTGTATTTTCTCAGAAAATACAGTGTTTACATGAGAGGCTGCAGGGAGCTATAGTTCACACCTGAACAACCTTGTTAAGCTGAAGTTGTTCAGGTTACTATTGTGTCCCTTTAATCTTGTTGGTTATAAGGTTACATAATTATATATTTCTTGCATGGTTCACAATATTTCTCCAATGTACCATTTACTAAGAAGAAACTGCGTTCCATTTTGAATTGATATAATATTTTATCACATATAGCTGTCCATTTTAAATTTATGGTTTTCCAGTTTCAAGCTATTACTAATTTAGTTGCAAAAAGAATATGTATTGCTAAATATTCTTGTGCTTTATTACACCGTGGGAAATCTATATTTCATAAGAACATATATGGAGTAAATATATTCCTATTAAATATTATTCGTAAACAGGACTTCATTTCATGTTAAATTTTTTTCTAATTCTTCACACTCCCACCAAATATGTGCTATGGTAACTTTTTCTAGATGGCATCTCCAACACCTATCTGAATTATTTCTGGAGATTTTATTAAGACACGTAGGAAACAGATCCCACCTATAGATTAATTTAATTTATAATGCAGTTCCATTATAGAAATACAGTGGATCATACAAGACACTTGAGAAATTCTTTTGAACCAATCTTCCATTGGAAAGACAATATTTAGTTCAGATTCCCATTTACGTATTGGTACAGGTTTAATTCTTTTCTCAGTATTGGACTGTTAGAATTTTAGATAGTAGTTATTTTTTTTTTTTTGATAAGAGAAAGCGAACATATCATCTAGCCAATGGTACGACAAGTATTCTTTATCCATCAAATTTTTTTTAAATCTTAAGTAGGGAAATATCTCTCTATTCAAAAGTGAATATCTTTGTTGAAGTAAGTTAAATGACATGCTTTACCCATCTATTAAGATATCTGTTTGTTTGTTTGTTTGTTTTTTTTTTATTCCTAATGTTTTCCAAGATAGTAGATTTTAAATCCATTCCAGTACTTCAATTGGAGCTTCATACGATAATTTTATTTTTTTTAACGTAAATTTCTTCTTTAGTTTAATCATAATAGTTATCATATCATTAATTATTGGATTTAATATGGACCAAACAACTTTTGAGATATCACTTAAACTTATATCTTTTATCATTAAAACTTACCTCCCTTCCAGTGCCGAGCTCCTCGTCAGGCCATGCCCCCTTTTCCATCAAAATGACGAAATCACAGGGCCCAATAGGACGCTTTTATTTGAGAAGCGTCATCGCGCTCTGGTGCGCATTCTCTCACTCACACCCACAGTCACTCACCCACACTCAGTCACTTACTTACCCACCCATCCACACACACTCATAAAATAAGTTTACTTATGGTTTGGATCCTCCTCCTTGGTCTCCGTTCTTCAGCCGGTCAGCTCAAGCCGACGCTGTGTGTAGGAGATCTCCCACACTTTCGACTCTGATTGCTGACAGACTCCTGGGTTACTACAGGACATAGGAGGCGCGTTCACAGTGCCTCCTATTTCCTGTCTGCTGATAGCACGTTTGATGTATTCACCCAAGTGTGAAGACGTTAAACTTGATGAATGCGAATTAGGCATTCATCAGCTCGGAAGTCTCTCTGAGTGACTGCAACTGGAGGTGTTCCTAGGTTCTAATGTAAACACTGTATTTTCTCAGAAAATACAGTGTTTACATGAGGGGCTGCAGGGAGCAATAGTTCTCACCTGAACAACCTCATTAAACTGAAGTTCAGGTGACTACAGTGTCTCTTTAACTAAGATATCATTCTTGGATGCTTTCCCCTCCAAATATAGTCTTTAAACAATTATAGCAAATTTGCCCAATAATTTAGAATCAACTCTGAGGGGGGTGGTTCTAAACAAGCAGAGAATTTTAGGAAGTACATTTTATTTATTTATTAGGCCTAACCATGATATTTCCAATCCTTTACGGAAGGAGAAGTATGATGTCAAGTTATTCAACAATTCCATATAGTTGAATTTTACCATACTGAGTATATCTAGTTTGATCTTAATTCCCAAATATTTTTATTTTTTTTCAGTCAAATTGATATTTAGATTTCATCAGCTCTACGTTAGTATTAGAAACAAACTTTGTTAAAATTTGAGATTTCTGAACATTAATTTTATAATTTTTAAATTTTACAGAATTGATTAATGGAAATAATGGAAAATAATGATAGTGCGTCAATTGATTCTACAGGGTTTGTCATGGACAAGACATCATCTGCATATAAAGTTATTTTGCAGTTACGGTTTCCTACCTATAGTTCTTGAATCTGTTAATTTTTCCTAATTAAGATGGCTAATGGTTCAATGGAAACTATGAATAACAGGGGTGCCAAAGGGCATCCCTGACGTGTTCCATTTGATTCAAACATTGGTCCAACTACTTTGGCTTTTGAATTTGTATATAAAGACATATATTCTCTTTAATTTTGCCGAATGACTACAAAACTGATTCTAAGTATGTCCAGTTAACTCTGTCGAAAGCCTGTACGGCATCTAAGGCCAAAAAGGCTATTTCCATTTTGGATCTTTCTGCAATATGTATGATGATTATTATCTTACTGGTGTTATCTATTGGATTTCTGTCCAGGACAAACCCTGATTTAGTCTTTATGAATAATCTACGGAATGATCAGTTTAATTTGATTTGCTATAATTTTTGAGAATTTTTATATCTAAATTAATTAAAGATATTGGTCTGTAACTGGAAGTTAATGTGGCATCCTTACTCCGTTTTAAGATTGGAGATATTGTGTCTTGAAGCATCTCCCTAGGAATTCCATTACTTGAGAAACCCTGAAACATGGTTAAAAGAGTTGGTATAATTATTTCCTGAAATTTCATCTAAAATATTGGCGAGTAGCCATCTGGACCTGGGGACTTACTAGGTTTAAGTTCCGTTCTGTTAGTCCACCCATTGTACAGTGCTACGAAATTTGTTGGCGCTATATAAATAATATAATAATAATAATAATGACCTTTCGAATCTCTATATATGAAAATTGTGTGTTCAATTTATCTTAGTCTTCTTCTGTTATTTTAGGGATTTCAAGGTTACTCAGGAAGTCTTTAATTTTTATTTTGTTTAATGAGTCCCCATTTAGAATATAACGTTTTCCAAAATAATTGGCAAAGGTTTTCCGCTATATCTTTTGGAGGGTTACTCCAACCACCATTACAACTTGTGCTTTTAGAAGTATAAACGTTTGTGCCAGTGTCTTGTTTAAATGACCGGAACTGTTGCAACAGATGTTAGTAACATCTACCCTTGCAGGCATTGCTGAGAATGAGTTTAGGCTTTGCATTGCTGAGCATTCTCAGCAATGCAAAGCCTAAACCTCCACTCTCTTCTCACATCCACTCCTTGCTTTTACAGTTAGGCTTTTTTACTTTTTACATTTAATTTATCTATTCCCTCTATCCTCGGCACAAAGCGTGCGTATGTGCTCTTAACCTGTAGATTTGTCCAGTCAAATGCTTCTCTTTGACCATTTGATTGGACCTTATGATGATCATCCATACTCGCTTTGTTGGGTTAACATGTTTTGACTGAGTTTCTCTCTTTTCAGATTAAAAAAAAAGCCTTTAAGAAAGAAATATGGCCTGCTGTCAGATTATGATGAAAACATGGAGATGGGATCCATGGACAGCGATGAGGATAAAATATATGAAGCTAGGAGCATCAGAAGGTTAGTGAGCTAATGTTTCACTAGGAATAAATAGCAATTTATTTCCATATTCTTTGTAATGTACCTTTTTATATGCACACCATACTGTGAAATGTTTCTAGTGCTTTTCTCTTCCCTTTGTCAATAGCATTTTATTTATTCTATTTTGTTGTCTTATTTCCCAGGTGATGCAGAGGTCACTGCCAGCAAAAGATCCCGTCAATTGTTGTGGTTATGTCTATTCTTGTGATTGCACAGGCTGTTTTCTGATGGTCTGAAGTACTGAGTAGAATGGAACGCTGACCACTCAAAATTACTAACTGGAGTTTGAGTCTTTTTGGAGAAGATTAAGAGGCTGTGATTTCCCCTAATTATTGATAACTAACTAACTTTTGTTCAGTGTCATTCAATGCGATTTCTGAAAAGAAGTGGATGGTGAAAAGATGGTGCTTTGCCTTCTAGAAAAATACACATTCTCTTTTTTTTTTTTTTTTTATTGTTTTCTTTGGTAAGCAATTGTGTTCTTCTGTGCAATGTAAGTGCATTTACTGCCAAAGCATGCAGTATTGCTAAAACCGTGATGACAAATGGTTAATCACATTGCAACCCTTCTATTTTCCACTCACTGGGGATATAGGAAGGTTTTGTTTTTCTAACTGTGCTGGCAATTTCATAACTTGTATGATGGGGGTTCTTTTGTAACAAACATTTATTTTTCCAGCGTATCTTTTATAAATTAATAAAACATTCTTGTTTGCCAACTTTGTTTCACCATTTTTAGTAATTGTCATTATAGTTTCTGTTTAAGAAAAGCTGCATGGTTGTAGGGCACCTCACCCGTTGCATAGTATCTATTGTAAACTGGCTATTTATGGTCTCCAGGCTGCCAAAGGGGATTTTATTTATTTTTAGTCAGGCTATCCAATTACCCATGAGCATTTGGGATTCGGGAGTAATGGAAAAGATTGACTATTGCCAAATGTGCATGTTGAAGCTGTGCTTTCTAGTTTCTCTTTTGTAATCTCACATTGCCAGTCACTAGGTGGCAGTGGTGTGCTGCATACTACATTATAAGTGTGTTACCAAGATATATAGCTTCAGGACAATGCTTGAAATACTGAAGGTCAACAGATCCTATCTTAAGCTATGCAGACAGTGTTTTGGACCTCTAAATTTTGTTGATGTATGGTTATTACTGTTTGTATTATAAGATATCCGTACAGTTGCAAGTACTTATTAGATTGATGCTGTTCTTATCCTATGCTTATTCATTTGGTTCTGAACCCAAAACTGCTATGATGTACCACATGTATGTGTAGAATACCTCTATTCTACACCTCACATTGCTGTTTAGAATATGCCATTTCTTCTTCCATCAAGAAAGGCTTGCAAATTCTTCTTTGAGCTTCTTTCTTTTGGTTCCATACAACCTGTCAAGATCACTGTACCAATAATTTGTAGGCACCCGCCAAGGTTAATGCACCATTAGCAAGTGTCTGGAAGGGAGATGAGTAGACAGGTTGTCAAAGACTTCCAGAGATTAAAGAGCCAGATTCACAGAGGGAAATCTCCTGTGCCTTTAGGGGTGGGTGTAGTGTACATCATTGCTTCTCGTTAGCGCATCTCCAATCTAATAAGCCGATTACGTTGGTGTCTCCTGAGCGCAGACCCTTCCCTAGTGTGCCTGTGTGTTAACAGAACGCACACTTAATGTTAACCCAGTTTCCTAATTAATTAGTCCTTTATAGTTAAAGCTCACAAGACAGATTTTGGAATGGTTACTCTGGATCAAGAGTCAAGCAAACCAAATTGCACAACAAATGATACATATAAATTGTTAAAGATTAGTTTCAAATCCTCCAACAGGTCCTGTAGGAGCATAAATGGGCACCAACAACACTATATATGACTGTTTCAGACACACTGAAACAAAATGACCACCCTTTGTATAAGCACAGTGAATTGTAGGGACACTATAGGTACCAAGACCACTTCATCTAATAGAAGTGGTCTGGGTGCAGTGTCCCTGTTCCCTTGACCTGGAATGCTTTAGAGGAACTGCAGTAAGCCACTAGAGGCACTTCTGGCATTTACAGAGTTTGACTCTGAAACGACGCCGGACGTCCTCTTGCTTTGCTTCTTCAACTCCCTCATTGGAAAGCATTGATTCTATGATTTCCAATAGAGAAGGCATAGTGCATGCGGTGCTCTTCAACCTTACACATTAGCTTCTCCCCATTGCCCACATCTGAGGTTTAAAGGGTTTTACTTTTAGAACCTTTCCACACTTGTATTTAAAGTTCTATAGTGTTATTTTAATTGTGAGAGATTCTATTGAATTGACTAGTGATTAAGAATTATGAGATTTCTGCCTCGTGAGATGACATCTTTGAGTCAACACCTTGATTTTCTATAGGCTACAGTTCCACTTTGATTTTTACAGTGTCATCTGTATATCTACAGTGCCTTGCAAATGTATTTTTTTTTGTAAATCTCTTTGTACTTTTGTTTATGAAAACTTCAATAAAAAGAGGAAGGACAGTTGTACATATGGGACTAGCAGGTCCCCAGAAGTGAGTAGAGCAAGAGAGGAAAAAAAAAAACGGAAGAAAACCACATATGTAAAACACATGCAGTAGAAGTGAACGTGATGTGTTTAAGAGCCTTTATGTTCCTAGGCTAGTTGTAGCTCTCAGGTTTCCCAACAGTGAATAGGTCAGTTATCGTCCTGTCGCCCACGGTCTCTTCTGTGATCTGACAGGGGATGTAGCGTTCTGCCTCCTGACCAACCGTGATTGTACAGCTATAACTTATATTACGGTTTTTCCCTGTACCTGGGCAGATGAGCTTTACCAGGCTCTATAGCATACGGCTCTTGTCCCTGTTCTCTAGTTGGAAGGCGCAGGTCTTTGGCAATCTAAGGGGTATGTATCAGTGTATATTGGAACATTTGTGTTACAGGTAACTTTTGGTGGTGTGCTTCTACTTTTCTGAAGTCTGCTGACGTATGTGATTACTTGTTGGTTGTGTGACTGTAGTGTGTGTATTGTGTCTCAGCATTCGATGGTGTGTGAGTGTGTGCGCACCCCTGTCACGTCCCACATGTTCCGCCTCGGGAATCGTCCCTTGCAAATGTATTCACCCCCTTGACTTTTTACCTATTTTATTTTTTTTTTTACATTACAGCCTTAAGTTCAATGTTTTATTAATCTGAATTTTTTATGTGATGGATCAGAACACAATAGTCTAAGTTGGTGAAGTGAAATGAGAAAAATATATATACATAGAACTAGTTTTTAGAAATAGAAAACAGAAAATTGGCATGTGCGTATGTATTCACCCCCTCTGTTATGAAGCCCATAAAAAGCTCTGGTGCAACCAATTACCTTCAAAAGTCACATAATTAGTGAAATGATGTCCACCTGTGTGCAATTTAAGTGTCACATGATCTGTGATTACATATACACACTTTTTTTTTTTTAACCCCTTAAGGACAGAGCCAAATGTACACGTTGTGAACGAAACAAAATGTAAACAAAACCTGGCATTTGCGCTACATGTCTGTCCAACCGTAATACACCTCTTTCATAGTAAATGCACCCACCCTTATTATATATCATTTTATTCAGGGGAAACAGGGCTTTCATTTAATATCAAATATTTAGCTATGAAACATAATTTAATATGAAAAAAAATGGGAGAAAATAAGATTTTTTTTATTTTTTTAGTTCTACATGACATTTTAACTGTCAATGTCATAATACTGTTTGCTTTTACTGCAATAAAATACACATATTTGTATTCAGCAAAGTCTCACGTGTAAAACAGTACCCCCTATGTACAGGTTTTATGGCGTTTTGGGAAGTTACGGGGTCAAATATAGCACGTTACATTTGAAATTGAAATTCGCCAGATTGGTTACGTTGCCTTTGAGACTGTATAGTAGCCCGGGAATGAAATTTACACCCATAATGGCATACCATTTGCAATAGTAGACAACCCAAGGTATTGCAAATGGGGTATGTCCAGTCTTTTTTAGTAGCCATTTGGTCACAAACACTGGCCAAAGTTAGCGTTAGTATCTGTTTGTGTGAAAAATGCAAAAAAACGCCAATTTTGGCCAGTGTTTGTGACTAAGTGGCTACTAAAAAAGACTGGACATACCCTGTTTGCAATACCTTGGGTTGTCTACTATTGCAAATGGTATGCCATCATAGGGGTAATTTTCATTCTTGGGCTACCATAGGGTCACGAAGGCAACGTAACCAATCTGGCGAATTTTAATGTGAAAAAAATGAAACACAAGCCTTATATTTGACGCTGTAATATATATATATATTAATATCACAATACAGTTAGAACGAAATAAACATCTATATATTTTTTAATTATTTATTTTTAATTATTAAAAATTTTTTTTTTTTTACGTATTTACATTGTTTTATATAATATAAAAAAAATAATTATATATATATATATATATATATTTAATTAGTATCAGTCTACGTGTAATTCAATAGTAATATATATAAATAATTATATATATTAATATTTAAATACACTTCGTGTATGTGTAAATGTGTGTGTGTGTGTGTGTGTGTGTGTGTGTGTGTGTGTGTGTGTGTATATATATATATATACTTAGATCATATATATAATATATATGATCTAAGTATATTTTATATGTAACTGTAATTTTTTTTTAAACTAATTTTTTTTTTTTTTTACAGGAGAGGGGGCAGAGACAGTGTCAGCCAGTGATTTTACATCACTGGCTGACACACAGGATCAGTGATCACAGTGACTGCCTGTCACTGTGATCACCTCCTGCAGATTGGGTAATTGGCCACAGGGGGGAGTGCCTGGGTGGTACAAGCACTCCCCCCTTCCAATCTGCAGGGGGATCTTTGTGCCAGTTACATGTGTCAGCCAATAGGCTGACACATGTAACACTGATCGCAGTGACAGGCTGTCACTGCGATCAGAGCGCTCTGAGATCGCAGTGACAGCCTGTCACTGCGATCTCAGACAGTGCAGATCGCGGTCACTGACCCCAGGGGGACTGCCTGGGGGCCAGGTAAGTCCCCCGACCGCGATCTGCATTGCAGAAAGCCGCCGGCCACGTGTGTCAGCCGATTTGAAATCGGCTGACACACGTTAAAAAACTGATCGCAGTGACAGCCTGTCACTGCGATCAGAGACTGCAGATCGCGGTCACCGGCCACAGGGGGGGTTGCCTGGGGGGCCGGGCATCCCCCCCGACCGCGATCTGCAGCGGGCGACAAGCGCCGGCCACATGGGCGGCCATTAAAGTGAGGGCGTACTATTACGCCCGCCGGCGTTTAGAGCCGGCTCCTGCAGGGCGTAATAGTACGCCCTCCGTCCTTAAGGGGTTAAAAGGCCCCCAGAGACTGCAACACCTAAGCAAGAGGCACCACTAATCAAACACTGCCATGAAGGCCAAGGAACTCTCCAAACAAGTAAGGGACAATGTTGTTGAGAAGACAGGGTTAGGTTATAATAATAAAAAAATAAAAAAAATCTTTGATGAGCACCATCAAATCTATCATAACCAAATGGAAAGAACATGGCACAACAGCAAACCTGCCAAGAGACACTCGCCCACCAAAACTCACGGACCGGGCAAGGAGGGCATTAATCAGAGACCTAAGGTAACCCTGGAGGAACTGCAGAGTTCCACTGCAGAGACTGGAGTATCTGTACATAGGACGACAGTAAGCCGTATGCTCCATTGAGTTGGGCTTTATGGCAAAGTGTCCAGAAGAAAGCCATTACTCTCAGCAAAAAACAAAATGGCACGTTTTGAGCTTGTGAAAAGGCATGTGGGAGACTCCCAAAATGTATGGAGGCAGGTGCTCTGGTCTGATGAGACTAAAATTTCACTTTTCGTCCATCAAATAAAACGCTATGTCTGGCGCAAACCCAACACATCACATCACCCAAAAAACACCATCCCCACAGTGAAACATGGTGGTGGGGATGTTTTTCAGCAGCCGCGACTGGGAAACTGGTCAGAGTTGAGGGAAAGATGAATGTTGCTAAATAAAAGGATATTCTTGAGCAAAACCTGTACCACTCTGTGCGTGATTTGAGGCTAGGACGGAGGTTCACCTTCCAGCAGGACAATGACCCCAAACACACTGCTAAAGCAACACTTGAGTGGTTTAAGGGGAAACATGTAAATGTGTTGGAATGGCCTAGTCAAAGCCCAGACCTCAATCCAATAGAAAATCTGTAGTCTGACTTAAAGATTGCTGTTCACAAGAGCAAACCATCCAACTTGAAGGAGCTGGAGCAGTTT